ATATAAACGGTATGATCTGTTCATAGTTGATTTGTTGATTAAATTTAAGTATTTGTTGCTTAATCTCTCTACGTTCATCTGTTTACTGTTGTTGTGATTCACTCAGAATCCTAATTTTCGTATATTTGCTTTCTAGTTCAGTTGATTCTTACCTCTTCGTTTTGATCTATCTGTTCGTGTATGTTCTTTGGAATCTGAAACTCTTCCAATCGAGAGCCCTCATCTGTTCTTGTGTTGATTTACAGCATATTTGTTTGTTATTATTAGGTAACAATAAGATGGTAGGTTTTAAATGTGTTGCAGAGTGGTTGTTGACTGTGTGTTTGAACTTGTTGACTATTGGGTGACATTTAATGAGCCTCATGTGTTCTGACTTTTGACTTTGCTATCAAAATAAGCCAATTTTGTTTGATATTTCAAGGTTGATCTTATGTAGAGTTCCAACAGCATAGTTTTAGGCATAGACGGAAGGAAGTTGCAGTTTTTGAATGCAACCCTTTAAAGGTAGGTATCACACGTTACCTGAGCAATTCAATTACAGGTTGTAATGCTCCAGCAAGAAGAACTTCCTTCTTAATGTTGGGGGATGAATGGACACGATTCCCGATCACACCAACCTGAGATATACCATTCAGAAATCATTCCTAGATACAAGCAATCTTATGAGCTGAAAAGAAAAAAAGTGAATTTCAAAACTAGAACTAACTGCTTCATAGTGTATTGCAACATTAGAATAAGAGTAGGCAAAGCATTACAGTCCACTATCTGCAGACATGGCAAGGTTCCAATGTTAGAAAACTTTGTCCCCAAAACACATTTTATTGATCCAGATCATTCAACCTTAGTTTTGTTTTTAATAACCTCTTTCTTCGAGTTTATGAAGCAAGATTTCTAGGATTTTGATTTGCTTTAGTGAGTCTTTGCTAGATTCATTTGATATCTACACACTATAATATATTTATATGTTCAATAATTCTGTCAGATAGTAATTTTATAGATATTTTTGATGTTAAATCTGTGCACCGTGAATAAATTATTCATGTAAGTATCATCTGTCTTTGTGGATGTGCAGGAGGATCTTATACTGTTAGTTCCTTACACTAAAGGACCAAACAAGAAGCCATATATGGCTATAATCAAGGTATTTTGGTTTGGTCTATTTTTTCTAAATCAAAACTTGCCTGGATACTTGATGTCTTGATCCATAAATTACATATTATTCACATATGAATCACATGTGATTCACATGTAAATCACAATTACACGTGATTCACATGCAAATCATATGTAATTCACATATAAGTAACCTGTAATTCACATGTAAATCACAAGTTGGTCACATATGATTCATATGTAAATCACATTTACACGTGATTCACATGTAAATCACATGTAATTCACGTATGAATCACATGTGATTCACACGTAAATCACATTTGATTTACATGTAAATCACATGCAATTCACATGTAAATCATATGTGATTCATATGTGAATCGTATGAGATTTACATATGATGTCATATGTAAATGTGATTCATATGTGAATTGCATTTGATTCATATGTGAATCGCATGTAATTCATATGTTAATCACATGAAAATCACACATGTATTTTTGTGAGTGTTTTTGCATCAATCATTTTTTTTAATTTTCTTGTAGATTTGGAAGAAATTGTGGTGAATATTGAAGAGGTGAAAAATGATAAATTGAAGAAAATAAGGAAATATTGACACGAAGACATGAAAACGCTTTGAAATTTGTAGCATTTTTTATTTTTTATATTTTATTTTGTATCGAATAAAATACTTGTACTATTATGTTTATAAATTAATTAATAAAAATGAGATTTTTTGTGATTTACTTACGAATATTATAGTATAAGAAATATACATATATGCATTTGAAAAAATATGCATATATGCACCTAAAAATTTACTTTTTTTTAGAAAAAAATGCAGTTTTCTTTGAAAAAATTGCAGTTTTTATTAAATGCAGTTTTTTTTGAAAAAAAATGTAATTTTCTTTAAAAAACTTGTAGTGTTTTTAAAAAAATTGAAGTTTTTTTATTTAAAAATGCAGTTTTTTTTTAAAAAAAGTGCAGTTTTTTTTGAAAAAATGCAGTTTTCATTAGAAAATTGCAGTTTTTTTGAAAAAAAAAATGTAGTTTTTTTTTTTTAAATTGCAGTTTTTTGAAAAAATTGCAATTTTTAAAAAAAAAATCAATTTTTTTTCAAAAATTAATGTTTTCTTTACAAAATTAAAAAATCTGCATTAAAAAAAAACGAAAAATACTATATTTAAAAAAATCTGAAAAATTGATTTATGATGTAAATTTTTAGACATTTATATTAATATATTAAATAACACAAAAAAAATTAAACATTAAGTGAGATTGGTAAGATGACGATCATCTCCTTAATGAATTACTTTTCATCCAACGCTCCACTTTTAGTTCTCGGGTTCTCGGGAAATATGAGTTCTCAACCGATCTCAACCCTATATATATATATATATATATATATATATATATATATATATATATATATATAAAAGTTCAATAGAGAACCATTATTAATCAAAGAGCCAAAGAACCAATCCAAAGCATCGAAATTTAAAGTAATCAACGACAAAATGAAGGGTTGTATACTTTTACAATTGACGCACATGCACCGGATTATAACAAAACTCATTTCCTTTTTTTCGTTTAACATTTTTTTAGGCCATGTTTTTTATTGGAAAAAAAAAAACCGAGTACCGTTGTTCACGATTTTTCGTCCTCTTTCCAAAGAGATCAATGATGATATATGAAAAACGAACTTTTTTTCGAAAAAAAACTCACTTCATTTTCTTTGTTGAAAAGTTAAGGTCTATTTTTTATAGAAAAAATTTAATAAATATATCAAAATTCATGTTTTTTTGTACTTTTTAAACATAGATTCATATTCATGTAAAAAAAATGATATTTCAGTTCAGATTCACATTGTGAACCTGTTCAGATTCATATTCTGAGTCTGTTCAGATTCACATTGTGAACTTTCTCAGATTCATAGCGTGCATAATAGTAAGTCAGATTCACAATGTGAATCTGAACTGATCGAGCTTTTTCACATTGTGAATGTTAAAAATTGAAATATTTACAGTTTAGATTCACAGTGTCAATCTACACTGATTGAGGTTTTTTTTTGTGAACCTTTTTAGATTCACAATGTAAAACTGAACTGATCGAGCTTTTTCATATTGTGAATGTTAAAAATTGAAATATTTATAGTTTAGATTCACAGTGTGAATCTACACTGATCGAGGTTTTTTTTTTAGTCGGTGTTGATGTTTATTAATAGAGTACAAAAAATTAATATTTTTTGGTATAATTAGTTTTTTTTATAAAAATAAACTTAAATATTGAAAAAAACTAACAAAATAAAGTGAGTTTTTTTCGAAAAAAAAAATCGTTTTTTATATATCATCATGGATCTCTATGGAAAGATGACGAAAAATCGAGAACAACGGTATATTCAGTTTTCTTTTCGATAAAAAATGTGACCTAAAAAAAATTTTAAACAAAAAAAGAGGTAGGTTTTTTGGTAAGGAGGTGAATTTTTTGGTATAATCTGGTGTCTGTGCGTCCAATGTACAACTGTACATCTATTTCCTTGGCCGTTGATCATTATGATTTCCGACGCTCACGATTGGTTCCTTGGTTTCTTGTTAATTATTGTTCTCTATGGTTCTCTATTAAACCTCACTCTATATATATATTATATATATATATATATATAATATATATATATATATATATATTATATATATATATATATATATATATATATATATATATATATATATATATGAGAAGTGAATATGTGGCTATTATGTACCTAAGCTTAGGTATAGAACCTTTTAAACGACATAGTTTTAAACAAAACAAATCCAATTTTATTTTCTCTTAGTTTTGTTTTAATAGAATACTATTGAATTAAGTTCAATTATGGAATGAAAAAGATCAATTGTATATATTTTTATTGCAAATAATTATTCAAGTTTTTAGAGAAAATAAAAAGCCAATATTTTTTAACAAATATAACTCAAGCGTTTTGTTTATTAAGTTTTGTCTATCAATTGAAAAACTATATCCAATGATTTTGTGAAAAATTTGATTGAATTATGACATGTTCTTCTTTATCTTTAATTCTACTGGTTTTCATTTAGAATTTAGTAGGGTTGTTTAAATGGTCATGACTTTTAATGTTTTAAGTTCTTAGACACAACGAAGAAATAGAACATAAATTTGATCGATTTAGTATGTCACATGATAAATAAAGAATAGTAAAAGAGATATCATGATTAGTTTGGATATAAATGGATCAAAACTACATTTTTTTGAAAAGTTCTATATATAAGTTTAGGTACATGACAACCACATATTCCCTAAGTCATATATATATATATATATATATATATATATATATATATCCCACAAAATAAAACATAATTTTAACTTATAATTTTAAAACATGACAAATATCTAAAACACTCAGTTTTCCGTTCAAAAACTATAACAACTTCAAAACATTAGTTACAACTCACAACACAAAATGATAAATGATAAACTGATAAAGAATAAAAGTCATAAAATGGTAAATTCATTTTTTTTCAAAAAATAAAATAAAATAAAATCAAGGTAATGTTGGATCGTTTTTCATACCTAAGATTGTACGATCAAAAACACGATTTTGACAACCTGTGTTTATTATAACGTAACCAAATTATCTTGGGGAAATTTTCAATGTTTCTTTCATTAGGAGTTTCATAGTACTCAATGTAGAATAATTATATTATTTTTATGCATCTCATTCAAAATTATTGAGCAAGGGTAAAACGAAAAGGAAGATCGTTATCTCAGTACAAAAATAAAGACAATTCATTATGTTTGGTCATCTAGATTGAGAGACCATGTGTGGTCCCCAGGGTTCATATTTTCCTGTTAACATTTATGTTCTCAAAATTTAACAGAAACAGAGAGATAAGTTTTTTAAGACCAAAATACATTAAAAAAAAAACAACAGAAACAACATACATATTCCTACATGTTATGCAAGCAACATGAAACATATCTAGAATATTATCTTAAGCCAAAAAAAACACTTAAAAATAATGCAAATATAAATGTGCATTTCAATTACCCTATGATTTTTGTCCTTCCTCTGCAGCAGCCTCAAAAGTCTCCCCTGCCACAAGTTCTGGGACTTCATCATCATCATCCGCTTGTGCTGATGTGGCAGCAGCGGCTTCAGCGTCACCTGGCGCCTGCTTCTGGAACTGCTCTGCTAATTTTCTTAAGTTATCCAAGTTATCTGGCCCTGTAACATGCAACTCATTACAAATCACATTTTTCCAATCTTAAATCAAACAAAAAACTGAAACTGAAATTTAAAAAAAAAAAAAAAACATACCAAGTTGGTTGAGAATGCCTGGGAGAATATCTTGCAATTCTGAAACAAATCATAATACAAAATCAAGTCATAAAATTGAATAGAACTCGATACAACATATTGAAAAACTAAGGAAATGGTTACTTGATTAAATACACAAAATGGTTATAGACTTATAATACAGTAGATTTTTTTTGTAATTTACCCTTTAAGCAAATACCAAAGTTATATGAGATAATGACATAATGTTACACAACAGCATCTTGAATATGAGCAAGCTTGTTGTTATATGTGTTTTACTTATAAAATAATGAAATCCTTGTTTTGCTAATGAATCCATAATTACACTAAAAAAAAGACATGTTTATACTTTATATAATCAAACAGAGATATACTTTATCGAAAGTAACTTTCAGGAATAGCCTAAAAAGTAAGGAGCCTACTTTTTGTTTGGGGAGAACCACTAACAACCCATGTATTGGCAGCAATAGAGGCTTGAACTGTAAAATAGATACAAAAGGAAAATGTCAGAAGCTCAAAATGTCAAGATACTTGAGAAATAAAAGAACAAAAGAAGTGATTTTATTGATAAATTTAGTACCTTTGGGGTTTAAGAACTGGATAACTGTTTCATCCTTAAAAATGTTAACTTCCTCAATTGCTGGTATTGCGTTTACACCTATTCTTTTCAAAGTGCTCTGCAGCCTCTTGTCATCTGTGGTGGTTGTTTTATGTACAGCCTTCTTCTTTCTAGAAGCAAACACCAAACACAACTTTGATCAAATAAACTTCCACAAAAGTTAAACTTGCATCTACTTCAACTTAAAGTTTATATAACTAAATTCATATAAGTTTGTTTAAGCTCATGAACCTTATCAAGGTTCATGTTTAAAACACTTCTACATTTGCATATAGCTCAGTGTTTTGTAACTCAATGATCAAATTAGCACTTTTGCATTCTGTTTCAAAATCTGAAATTAAGACAAATATGATGTTCCAAACTGAAACCACTTCTACATATTAGATCAGTGTCGATTGTTAACTTGTATCAGATAAGGAGCAAATTGCAGTAATAAACGGATTTGAATTACTTCAAGGTTATACAGGGGAATCTTTTAAGACCAGAAATAAAAGTAAATCATCAAGTTGAAAGCAAAAATATTTTCTTCGTTCAAACGATATAAGAAACAAACCTTCTCACACTACCCTTCCCACCAGTGCGAACAGCACCTGCCATCTTTTGTAGCTTTTCCACATTCATCTGTCATAAATACAGATAAGATTAGTGAGCTAGTTACCAATATGAAATTGCGAATCTAAGAATTCATCAGAAAACCGACAGCATAAACAACAAAAACACAAAAGCTATGGTATATATAAATCCCCAAACTATTCGACAATCACAAACACGACTGTTTCTAAGCAAGCAAATAAAATGCCGTATGGATTCAGCAACTTCAAAATAGCAGTTCATACTTTTTAAAGTTGTTGTGCGCAAAGAGATTGATAGGAAACATAGAGTCATGTTACTCGTATCATAAATCAAAACCACTGCCTATCACATGAATCGTTTGCCAAATTAAGTACTAATCGATTATGAAATTTATGTACCTTGGCGCGGATGGATGAATTGATGCACGAGAGTAAGGGAGGGTACTGAGATTTGAGATAGATAAAACCCTAGAATCGATCTTTCGATTTTATATATGGAGCCCATGTTGAGAAAAGTTTCATATGGCTACCTTGTACAACAGAAGAACTGTGTAATATTCCCCTGAATTTTCTTTTTGCAACTACAAAGCAATAAAGCATAGCGAATGGATGGTATGAAGAATGGATGGTACAAAGGGGTGAGCATTTGAACCTCTACACCGAATCGGATTGGGAACTGAACCTGGATTTGAACCCGGTAAGCCTCAACAAATTCGATCCAAGATCCATCAATTTCTGTCAAACCAAAACCTGAAAATGAACCAACACTTCGGATATTATATATCCGAATATGAACATCCGATTTGAAATGAACTTAAATCTCGAATATCCAAATTCTTAGATAACCGAATTTGAATAGTCAATTTTTTGGATTCGAATTCGAATATTCATTTTGGCAATCTTTTTGATATTTAAGATATTCAAAATCCAATAAATAAATATATTTGTAACATCCCAATGGCAAGGTATTTCTAATTTTGACCCTATAATTGAATTATATTGCATTTTAGTCCCTAAGTGAGAAAAAAGAGTACAAAAGGGTCCTTAGTGGCATTTTCGTAAATTTGGGTTATGAGGGGTACGCGGTGCGTACGTGTGTACGCTGAGCGTACTAGGGCGCACCTTAGTACGTTGGGCGTACACCTCATACGCAGGGAGTACGTGGTAAACTTGCAAACCCTAATTTTTAGGATTTGTCTCATATTTAAACCCAATTATAGTTCATTCCTCTCTACTTCATCAGCCTCCATCCTCTCAAAACGTTTTTGTAACCCTAATCCACCTTGTGAAGCAATTCTAAGCTTGAGTGTGTGTGTGTGTGTGTGTGTCACACCCCCACACCGGAACGGCGAAAATGTTCGGGGGTGGATGACGTCATATCTAGTATCACAACAATTGCATCATAGTAATCAAAGTAAACACAACCATTACATTGAATATATATATATATAAGTATTTACATCTATTTGATTCATGTTTTTATACATCAAAAGCATATACAAAAGTAAAAGACGTGACTCTATACGCTCCATCTTCTCAAAAATCTGTGCGAGGTACCTGTCTACTGATTTCCTAATAATACAAGCAGTTTTGAAAGAGTATCAGCATAAAGCTGGTGAGTTCATAAGCATGTTTTTGTAATGAAAATCCTGTCATTGAATCTGTAAAATGTTTGTATGCTTCCCAAGAAAATCCAATATTTTCTAACATATATGTTTATTCCTGTGTCTGTAGTAGTATATAATGTATTAGTTTGTACTTCTGGTTACCACCAACTGTATTGTATAACATTGTTTTGAATGAAAGCCCTTTGTATGAAAACCCTGACTGTCACCAGTAATGTATAAGATGTTCTGTTTGAAAACCCTGGTTACCACCAGTATGTATAGTAGTTTCATTACTTAAAATAAAACTATGAGTTGAAATCCCTGGAATCCTCCAGTTATATTATGAACTAGTTTTATTAATAAAATAAAACTAAAGAAGAATGAAATCCCGTAAACAATAAGGTTAGTTTATACTATTGTGAGTCGTATAACCATGTTTGATATGACCTAGTGACCTTTACGACGTTCTTCAAGTGTCGGATAAATGGCATTTGTCACCCCAGGCATGCCTGCCTAACTGTAGCTAGCAGTTCAGGTGTGGGATTATCAGTCCCGAATAGATCTATTTACAAATCTCACGCTCTCCCTCCAGGAGACTCTGGTTATACTATGATAGGATTTAACTTGTGCCCCGAAAGGTACAACTGAAGTGTTGTCTCACAATCATGTATTAACTAGTTTAAGTGTAGTTATGTATTGATCTACTGTATTTAAACCAGTGTGTATACTTTATAAGTTTATAATTATACTTAAATAATTATTAAATGTTGTACTCTTGTAGTAATGTATATCATAAACTAAATTTGTCATAGTTTATATGTTTTGCTATGTAAAGCTCTGAATTCGTAAAACTATGTATTGAAAACCCAAATTATGCCTATTATAGTTTGCATGTATGATGTGTACTTGGTTTACGTATTGATCTGAAAACTATACAGTTTCGACTGTAGATTGAAAAGGTCCCTTATGCTCAGCACGTTACAAAAGGGATAAAATATCTAAATATTTTATAAAACATGTGGAAACTCTGAGATTGTATCAATTGCATCAGTTTTAAATGTGTTGAAATCCTTTTGTATAAATGCACAAAATCAGTTGTGTTTGGCTTGTACTCTCCCCCTGAAAACATTTAAAATCATAAAAGCATAGGGGTATGAACCCACTGTTAGTCATGTGAATAGTCGGACAACGAAAACTGGGAGTGAAGACCCTCGAATTGATGTACGCGGCACTCAACGGGATCCTAATACAATTAATACATATATGCATTTTATTAGCGAAACCATTATTTATAGTGTTGGAAAACACTTGCTTTCAGTTTAGGAGTGTTACCGGGACTCGATTGAATCAGAAAAGTGGGTTTGCAGCCAAGATTCACGGTGTGAAGGAGTTTGCGGCCGTGAAGGGTTTCCGGCCATGAACTGTTCTCGGCCGTGATCAGCCCCTTGAAGGGTTTACGGCCGTGAACGGTGTTCTTGAAGAATCTATGAAGGTTTGAAGGGTTTACGGCTGTAAACGGGTTTACGGCCTTTAAAGATTTGAAGATATGAAGGGTGTACGGCCGTAAACTCAAGAACAATGATGTTGGATTCGATGAAAAACGTGTTTTAGCTGCTCTAAAACAACTTCCAAAGGTGATTTCTGATGATTTTCGGAAGAAAAGAGGGTGTTTTGATGTTTACGGTTGAGAGGTAGAGAGAGAGAATGAGAGAGTTTTCGGCTAAGAAAGTTCAAATGAAGGTGGGGGTCCCGTATATATAGGTTGGGGGTATGGTCGGTGGTGGCGGTCACCTGGCACCGGCCGTAAACGGGTTTACGGCCGTAAATGGGTTTACGGTCGTGAACACCTCTCAGGCCGAAAACTATTGATTCTTCAAGGGAAATTCGGGTTTTTTCGCGTGATTTTGGTTCCGAATCTTATATAGAATTTAATTATATAACTAAATGATTTTCCAAACCCAAAGGAATTTGACGGAACTCAATAAAATTCAAATTTTATTAACGGAATCGGGTTAACATTAACGGAAAAAGATTTGGGTTGTCACATTATCCCCCCGATAGAGGGAATTTCGTCTCGAAATTCAAACATAGAATACAAATCATGGACTCAGAAAGAGATAGGGATACTTCTGTTGCATTGAATCTTCGCGCTCCCAAGTGAATTCAGGTCCTCGCTTGGCATTCCAGCGGACCTTCACTATCGGTATGCGACTTTGTTTCGTTCTTTTGACTTATCGATCCATGATTTCAACTGGTTCCTCCACAAAATTAAGGTTCTCATTGATCTCGATCTCATCAATATGGATCACAAGGGTTTCGTCAGATAAACACTTTTTAAGATTCGAGACGTGGAAGACGGGATGAATGTTGCTAAGTTCCCGGGGTAGACGAAGTTTGTATGCTACGGGACCGATCCTAGCGAGGATCTCGAATGGTCCTATGTATCTCGGATTCAGCTTTCCACGCTTTCCGAAGCGTATCATGCCTTTCCAGGGTGAGACCTTCAATAGAACACAGTCACCAACCTGGAACTCCAAGGGTTTTCGTCTCTTATCGGCGTAGCTCTTTTGTCTATCTCTTTAAGCTTTTAGTCGTTCCCGGATTTGTATGATCTTTTCAGTAGTTTCTCGGATGATTTTTGGGCCAGTGAGAGTGCTATCGGGGAATTGGCCCTTAACTAGCTGCGTGTCACCCACCTCAGCCCAACACAGAGGGGATCTGCACTTACGGCCATAGAGGGCTTCGAACGGCGCAACCTTGATGCTGGTATGGTAGCTGTTGTTGTAGGAAAATTCGACCTAGGGAAAATGTGTGTCCCACGACGTGCCAAAGTCAATGACGCATGCTCTCAACATGTCTTCCAATGTTTGAATGGTTCTCTCACTCTGCCCATCGGTCTGTGGATGGTAAGCTGTGCTCATATCCAGCTTAGTTCCAAGAGCCTTCTGCAGTGACTGCCAAAATCTCGAGGTAAACCTGCTATCCCGATCGGAGATAATGGACACAGGCACACCATACAGGCGGACTATATCTCGAATGTAGATTCGTGTCAGTCTCTCCATCTTGAAGTTTTCTTTAGTTGGCAGGAAATGGGCGGATTTAGTCAATCGATCGACAACTACCCAGATGGCATCGTGCCCACTCGGAGACTTGGGCAGCTTAGTGATGAAATCCATCGTAGTCCTTTCCCACTTCCACTCAGGTATTTCGGGCTGCTGAAGTAGACCTGAGGGCTTTTGATATTCCACCTTCACCTTGGCGCAAGTCAAGCACTTGCCCACGAAGGTAGCGATCTCTGCTTTCATGTTCGGCCACCAATAGAGCTTGTTGAGATCCAGATACATCTTATCTAAACCTGGGTGAACGGAGTATCTAGTCTTGTGAGCTTCATTCATGACAACCTCCCTGTAACCGCCGTGCTTCGGGGTCCATCTGGTTCATGAAATAATAAACTCCGTCTCCCTTGACCTCTAAGTTCTTTTCCATTCCCCTCAAGTCTTCATCCGACATGTTCTCTGGTTTTAAGGCTTCCAGCTGAGCTTCTTTGATTTGAGCGGATAAATGGGAATGGATGGTCATTGTCAGTACCTTCACTTCACGACCTGAATACTCTTTCCGGCTGAGGGCATCCGCTACCACATTGGCCTTGCCGGGATAGTAGCGTATTTCGCACCCGTAATCACTGAGTAGCTCTACCCATCACCGTTGCCTCATGTTCAACTCTTTCTGATCGAAGATATGTTGTAGGCTCTTATGGTCGGTGAAGACAGTACACTTGGTTCCGTAGAGATAATGTCTCCAAATTTTTAACGCAAAAACCACTGCTCCCAACTCTAGATCGTGAGTTGTGTAATTGACTTCGTGTGTTTTCAGCTGTCTCGAGGCATAGGCAATAACCTTCCCTCGCTGCATGAGCACACATCCTAAGCCTTGATTGGATGCATCGCAGTAGACAACGAAGTCCTCCGTCCCTTCAGGCAGAGACAAGATAGGTGCGCTGCATAGGGCCTGCTTCAATGTTTGAAACACAATGTCTTGCTTTTCTCCCCAAAAAAAGGGTACACCTTTCTGAGTCAGGGTGGTTAAAGGCTTAGCAATTCTGGAGAAGTTCTGGATAAACCT